CATTCACAAACCTAAGTCTAACTATTCCTAAATAGAGAGATAGAAGTTCATGAAATACCTGTTTCAGTTGACTTCGAGCTGGACAATGCAGCAACTTCCAAGTGTGCTTGAGGTTCTTTTGAGCTTGCCTGATGTCCAATGAAGCTTTCCCAATGCTTAGTTTATTTTGAAGTAGTCTGAATCGTGCTACATAACTCAACCTGCAAAGCTTTGAAATAAAAATGGCAATGTGTGTTAATGGTGTTACAGCTAGCAATGGAGGTCTGGAATAGTTTAGGTGAGTTGAATGGAAGGTATTGGAACAAGTTTGAGGCAAAACGCACGAGGGAAAGTGGATATGGAGGTGGTTCTGCAGGGCTTGCCCTGTTTTGCAGAAAAATGGTGATTTTGTGTAAAAGGAGGTTTGAGTGGTGAAGAGCTCGTGTTTATGACTCAAAAGGGTTGTGTGAAATGTGTTTGCAATGTTTTTGTAAGCTGACTATGGCTGGTTTTTGAGTTGGGAAGATTTTGGACAAATTTCTTCTTCTTGAAGCCAAAAGAGTGGAAGTGAGGTTATAGACTTGTACAAGCCATCCTATCACCCTGCACACAAGCCTCTTGGCCCCTCTAATTAGTGGATTTTGTTTGCATCATAAGATCTGGTTCAATGCTCTAGGATGTTGTTTTGACATAAAGCAAAGTTCAAGCAAAAATGGCAATGTTACTTTTTCCATTTAAGGCTTAATCTAGTGTACAATACCTTAATGACCAAGACAATGCCTTGGCTCAATGGATTTGCATTAAATTATGGAGTAAAAACTGGTTTTGAGGCTTGTAATTGTGTACAAAGCTATCTTGGTCAGATTTGCAACTTGGTATGAACATGTATTGGCCATGGATCAAAGTGAGTTTTTGCCAACTTCAAGCATTCGATTCTCCCTAACCATAAAGGTGTTTGAGGATTTCTTGGACAATTTGGAAAGCTTGCAACATGTACTATAATCCATCTTTGAAATACAACTTGAAACTCCAAGTGGAACTATGTGAAAAATGGCCAAGAAGATGGGTCAAAATCCTGCCTAAACTAGGGCAAAATTTCTCTAAGTTAAAAGTTTTAGATACCCTTGTTCCAAAACTCATAACTTGAGATCCAAGCTTCTTTTGAGAAAACTTTATGAATCAAAGTTGTAGACTTTGTGATGGACGACAACTTTCATGTTTCAAGTTTTGTTTGAATCCATTTGCATCTTGGTAAAAAAATGGGACAAAGTTATAAGAAAATTTTATAACTTAGAAATTTTTCTAAGTTATGAAATTTTTCATTTTAAACCCTAATTTGCATTTTTGGGTTTCTTGATGAACAATTTTCATAATTTGACATGTCTTAATGAAAAATGACCATTGGTACTTGATTTTGACCAAAAAGTCAAAGTTTGACTTTTCAGTATACAGTCAAATTTTTATCAGTTGACTGAAAAATTCATCTGTCAATCCTATGCATTTGAGATCTTTTGAACTTGTTGAATGGGTTAAGACAATTTCATTGAGTCCTTGAGTCCATGGTTGAGCTTGATTTGTCATTGGTTAGGTCAAACAGTCAAAAATTGCCTTTGTATAGTCAAAACCCTAAAAATGACCATTTTGCCCTTTTGGTGATCTGATCAAATTTCTTGTGGAATTGTGATCCAAACTTGATTAAATGGTTCATATGAGTTAATAATGTTGATGTGAAAGTCAATTTGGGCATTGTAGGTCAAAACATCTCTATGCAAACTGAAACCCTAATTTAGGTCAACAGTGCAAAGAGGTGTCTTGAGCAGAGCAAACCCCAGCTTGATCTTGAATTCCAAGAGTCTTGTGATGAGAAATGTTGATGAAATGAGAGGGCAAATTTTGGGGTACAACAAACTCTGATTAGAGTCAAGATCTTAATCAGGTTGTTCATAATCAGGCTCTGAATTGAGAATCTGGAATCTATCTTTGTGACGATAAAGCTTTAAGATCTCAATTGGCATGATTGGTATCAAGACACTTATGATCTTAATATCTGATCTATTGGAACCAGAGGGAGTTTTATTCAAATGGTTTAGAATCAGGATATTTGATCTTCACCAAGTCTTTGACTCAGGGGGAGTTTTCATAACAAGGATAAGTGTTTCTTAACCTTATTATTTTTACTTCTTTTGATTATGTACAAAATTGTGTCATCAAAATACATAGTTTTGTCATCATCAAAAAGGGGGAGAATGTTAAAACAAGATTTAGTTATGCAATTCTATCTTTTAGTTTTGATGATAACAAAGAGTATGTCTGTATGAACAATTTTGGTGCTCTAATTTTTGTTATTTTGAGTATTAAACAAACAGGTTCTGCTTTTGATGAAAGACCCTGCCAAGACATTAGAAGAGAATAAGTTCTGCTTATAGCTACACAAGTTCTGATGAATAGTAGCAAAAGCTTCATAAGACTTTGAAGTTGTGACTATGATACATGTCCAAGAAATAAAGTTTTGAAGATCTGAAGACATAAGTTCTAACTGAAGTCCAGATGTTGAAGACTTATGTTTCTGAAGACAAAGGGTTCTCAAGACCAAGTGCTGAAGATTCTGATAGACGATGTTCTGAAGATTCTGAAGACTTGAAGTTCTGGTGACCCAAGGTTCTACAATGAGTTCTAAAGACCAAGTGCTGAAGATTTTGAAGACGCAGTTCTGAAGACTCTGAAGACTTGAAGTTCTGAAGACCCAAGTGTTATTCTCATTCTTCTAACACATGCTCAGAAGCTGTTAGAAGAAAAAGAGGATAAGATTGTATGATACAAAAGTATATAGTAGAAACAAATCATTCCATTCCACTACCATGAAGGTAATACGTTGCGTACGATCTTGTCTCCCACGTAATTATCCAAGCTGGCAACTTTCTGGAAGTTCCAAAAATACCTTCAACGGTTATATTATTTTATTGGCTACAAAAGGGCTTGAAGAATATGAGAGAAGGCTGCTAATTCACATTCTCCAAAGACTGTTCATACGCTTTCATTTCTCTAGTCTAGTTTTGTTGAAAATTTGTTTACTTATCAGCTTGTGTAGAGGCATATCTTTTGTAAACAAACTTTGTCAAACCGTTGTTTGATTTTTCCTTAAGGGATCTGTTAGTCAGAATCCTTGAGAAGTCTAAGATTAGTGTGTCTTAGAGGTTGTAACGCTAGTCACTTGCAATTAACTTGTGCATTATGATAATCTGTTCGATTATTGGATTAAGTCCTTGTTGAGAAAGGAAGAACCACCTTGGCGGGTGGACTAAACTAGCTTGATAGTTTTCAAGTGAACTAGTATAAACATAACTTGTTCTTTCCTTCTTACATCTTATCACTATTATCACTAAGTGAAGTAACTTGTTACGGTTTAAAGAGGATTTTAAAAGGAATTTTTTTATTTAAAATCCAATTTAACCCTCCCTTTCTTGTGTTTTTCACACCTTCATGCATCTCCAGAATTACCTACAACTTTATCCACCGTCAATGGCGGAACACAGCCTCCAAAATCATAAAAAACAATGCATTGATAGTAAAAAAAATACCTATCTATCTCGTTTCTAATCAAGTATACCATATCAAACATGTAAATTTTTTTTATTTTATAGTCTAAACATCAACTTACACACATTTATAGAAAAACTTGATAAAGTTTACAAAAAACTTACAATTAGTGTCTTGCTGTTGCTTGAAGTTGGATGTTTGAAGTATATTGACGATGTTTGATGTTGTTTGAGTGTAGTTTGACCGATTTTGAGAAAATGGGGTTTGAGAGATTTTGATAAAATAGATTTTTTGAGAGTGTTTGAGTAAGTGAGGAAGGTGAAGAGCTTCTGGCGCGTATTTGAATGAAAACCATTTGGAGATGCATCTATGCAAGTATTACGAAAATGTATCTCCAGAATATTTCCACGTGGAGTTTGGGTCTGATTCAAACTGAATTTTGGTGCGTCCGGAGATGCATATTCAAATGATTATTTCCACTGATTTAGAAGTGCTTTGAAATTTAATACATCTGAAGATGTATCTTCGAAATATGAGGACATAACTATATTTTCACGCGGTGCTCTAGTAATCAATAAAATACATTAAAAAATTTCCTCTTAATTTATTATTATTGGGTCACTTTGACAAATAAGACCCAATACAATTTGTTAGAGTATTTTCGAGTTTTCTCTAAGTTAGTTTAGCTTTTCTAAATATATATAAATAGCCCAATAGAGTCTTGTACAATTTGGATTGAGATTAATGAAATTATTCTTTTTCAATATTTATTTTTTCCAATTGTGTATACTATTGTGTGTGACATTAAGCAATTAGTCTGCAAGATTTGACAATTAAGAATTCTTTTGTAACAAAATTAAGATATTATTTCTATGAAATTAGAGCATTAGAAAATCTCTCTTACCAAAGGTTATTGCATGTAGTAGTGCTTGCCCTTCAAAGTGCTTTAGAGCACAATATCTCTTCAAGTCTCGCATGATCTTTTCACTGTACAACATATTAATATTTCTATAAATTTCTAATATCAATTACTCAAAAAAAAAAAAAGTAGTTAAGAATGAATCTCTCACTTATTTCTTATCTCTTTCAACGTTGACTCTTCAATTCACAAAATAGACAAACACACTAAAATCTATGTAAATGTAAACAACACTCAACCTCAAGGGCCGTTTGATCACTTTTCTACCAATTTACGAAACCTCTCCACAAAGCAAAGTATAACTAACACCATTTCATGAAAAGGGTATAATTAATGGCAGTATATGCCAAGCTTGCATCTGTAATTAACCTCACAAGCAGGTTAGTAATTACTTGCGCAATGGGCCAAAATAGCTCAATGACAAAAACAAACCCACTCGTAACATCTTAGAATGTTCTGTTCTTATCCATTCCTATAAATACGTTGGCGCCTAAATATAAACCTTAAAGTACACATCATTTATAGTAGGAGCATTTCTGAATTCTGGTAACTTCATTTCAAAAAAATGGGTCCACCTCCTCTAAGCGATGATCGATCGGAAATCGTATTCTTCGACGTAGAAACCACCGTGCCGACCCGACCCGGTCAGGGTTTTGCCATTTTAGAATTCGGAGCGATTCTGGTATGTCCACGGAAACTCACAGAGCTTCGAAACTACTCCACTCTGGTCAGACCGGCGGACCTTTCACTCATCACTCCTTTTTCGGAGCGATGTAACGGAATCAACGCGGAAGCTGTTTCGTCTGCTCCTACATTCGCCGACATCGCTCATGCTGTATATGATCTTCTTCACGGTTCGTTTAACGTTTTAGCTATGTTTTCTGGTTTGTTTATGTGTGAAATGGTAGGGTTTTTGATGTTAGGGTTTGTGGTGATTTTGTGCAGGGAGGATTTGGGCGGGGCATAATATCATAAGATTTGATTGTGTTAGGGTTAAAGATGCTTTTGCTGCTATTAATCAAACACCGCCTGAACCAAAAGGCACTATTGATTCTTTGGTTTTGTTGACTCAGAAGTTTGGAAGAAGAGCGGGTAACATGAAGGTATCATAATCATTCTATATATACTTGGAGTTAAGATGTCATTCAGGGGAGTTAAGAGTTTATGCATTAGCTGAATTTATTATAACTGAAGAGGAAATTCTTAAAACAGTTTTGAATATCATTTTTTTTAAATACTTGCATGGCAAACCGGCATGTTCTCCCTGCGAAAGTCCTCAGTGAAAAATGAGGTGGGGCAGGCATTTGTAAGGCGCGAGCCTAAAACCTTGGCCTATCCCTAAAAATGAGGGTGGGCCCACGGACACGGCACCTTTAAAGCCTGAAAATTGAAAAAAATTATGTTAATGCTCGCGTCCACAAATAAACGGGGCGGGGCAGCGCGGACATAACAGAGGATGCAGGTCTAAAATGTTGGACCTCTCCATGAAAAAGTGCGGGAAGGATGGGCTTGCCCGGTGTATCGGGTCCGTTTTACCACCCCTAGTTATGGTACTAAATTATGGTTGCGGGTGAATGTGCTTTAAACCATGATAATGCAACAAATGCAACAAATGTGGCCAACGAGGCTGCAAGTTTGATTACTCTACGATTGTGGAGACCTTTAAAACCTTTATATTCTGGCTGCAATTGTGGCTCCGGCCTATAATTTAGAACTATGCTTACATGTAAGATATAAGTCAAAAACTCTTCGAAATGTCCCTTTAAATGCAAACTAGAGCATTGATTTTGTGGGAGTTGATTTAGTTCATTTAGGTTACGACAGCATTTGTAAATTGTTAATTACAGTTAGGAATTTTATTCACTGCAGATGGCTACTCTTGCTACCTATTTTGGTCTTGGGCAGCAGACACACAGGTAATTGTGCCAGTAAAGGCTTATATCACATGCCTTATAGTCATTTGCTATATTCAATTTCGTTTTTCTTATATTTTTCTTTGAATCTTCAGGAGCTTAGGTGATGTTCGGATGAATCTCGAAGTTCTCAAATACTGTGCAACAGTTCTGTTCTTGGTAATTTGTAATTCTAAATGTCCTTATTAAGTCTTTGCAAACAAATACTCAGCCATTGCTTCTGTATTAGTTGATGCATTTTTTTTTTTGCTTTCTCAAATCATAAGTAAAATGCAAAACCAGACTATTTGTTAATTTAATGTCGCTTTATCAATATTCTTATTAACTTTACAGAGAAAAAACATGTGGTTACATCGAGTTTCTAAACCTGATTTGTGTTTTAACTGTTTATTGGAATGCAGTTATGTTTTTCTCATTTTCTTCAATAAAATTTAGAAACAACATTCGTTGTTCTGTAATATTTGTACCCTGTTAATCCAAAACTTTCATCCCTGATAATGAATTTTCTGACATTAGTTGAGATTGATAATGTATAGTAAAAATAATGATAATCTCTTTGTCCTTGCAGGAGTCAAGTCTCCCAGATGTATTCACCGAAAATAGTTGGGTTTCACCAAATGCTGTTACAAGAAGTCGCAGTAGTGAGAAATCTCGGTCAGAAGGGGGTTTGTTAAATATGAATAAGGATTCTGTGTTGGTATCATCTCCTGAAACTGCAGATAAAAATCATCCAATCCTTTCTCTTGCAACAAGCAGCACAAATGTGGATGTCCCAAATGTTGGAGATTCTTTTAGCTTTCGTGATCTTCAGGATGAAATTAATAGGGAATCCGTTAGGGCAGATGTTGCGATGGATGAAAAATCCGTACAATCACCTGATTCTGCAGCCACATTTTCTGTGCTTCAGACTAGCAGCAGCTCTATTGTTGTTTTGGAGCCCGAAAAAATATCTATTTCTTCTATTGATGTGTCCCTTGTTCCATCTTATCGTGGCAGTCAAAGGATAGAATTACTTCATGAAGGTTTCCCATTTCAGCTTCATTCTTCTGGTTTGAAAGTGCGGTTTGGAATAAGCACAAAGTTTGTTGATAGTGCTGGACGGCCACGGTTGAACTTTGTGGTTGATCCATCACCAAGTTTATGCAATGTTCTTGAAGCATGTGACACTGTTGCACGTAAGTTATCCGCAGAATCTGGTAGCAGCTCTGATTGGAGACCAGTTGTTACCAGGAAAGAGGGCTTCTACAACTATCCTACCATCAGATTGCAGTAAGTTCTTGACCTGTACACGTGCGCACACATATATTTATTTGATTACTCATTACTCTAAATGATAATTTCTGACATTTGTGACACATACATTACAGTATACCTACAGCAGTATGCGAAGAGATTGCCATTTATGCAACAGAAATATATCAAAAAGAATCATCTGGATCTGTGCAAAGACTTCTCTTCAGCAAGTTCGATGCTGAAGAGCTTGGTGCCATGTTCAAGCCTGGGACATTTGTTGATGCAGTCTTCTCCTTAGATCTGTATGACTATCATCAGAGTGCGGGGATTAAATTAGTTGCCAAGAAATTGATCATTCATTGCAAGTAGAAATTGATCATTCATGCCCATCAGGATTGTTTGATTTACCATTGTTTATGTTTCAAATTTGATTATATATTTCATTCTAGTAGTTTAATTTATGTCATCATTTATAAGTTTTCTGGTTATGGATGTCCTCGCTTAACTCTACAAGGATAAACTTCCTTCTTGTGACAAAGGAGTAAATAAAAAATAAAAAGATTATGAATTTCAAATTTCAATGACACATGACTGCATCTTAAATTGACGGATTAATAATAATTTAGAAATTTAGAAATTTAGTGCGGGATGAATTACACGAATGGGTTCTTTTTGGAATGGAAGGTATAGTTGGGAAGTGAAAGAAATAGTTGGTTTTACATTGGAAAGAATTGGTTAGTTTGACTCCACTTTGCATTTTTGTTCTCTCTATTCGGGTTCAAAATTCCTATAGATTGTGTGCATCAAGTGGCACACAATTTTGTCAAAGGGAGATATGGCACCACCATAAATTATGACACGCATCCTGTCGTTGTCTGTCCACGGTTCTGTCTAGCTCCGTTTGCAGGAGTTTCCACACAGTTCTACCAAAACTCTTTTACAATGGGATTGTCAATCTCAACCGCATGTTAAGAAATCTTCGAAATTTTAATGTTAATCACAAACAAACTTACTCACAAATCTCTAAAGGTTGAAGATGAAGAAAAATTCCGACTGCAAACTGAAAATAAAACTCAAAATGTCTTTTGAAAGTTTGAGATTAAATTGTGTTGTGTGTTCTAAGTAATAGAGTGTTATTATGAGAAGGATTTTATATATATATATATATATATATATATATATATATATATATATATATATATATATATATATATATATATATATATATATATATATATATATATATATATATATATATATATATATATATATATATATATATATATATATATATATATATATATATATATATATATATATATATATATATATATATATATATATATATATATATATATATATATATATATATATATATATATATATATATATATATATATATATATATATATATATATATATATATATATATATATATATATATATATATATATATATATATATATATATATATATATATATATATATATATATATATATATATATATATATATATATATGAGCTGGAGATAAGGCATAAAAATGAGAAACAAAAATACTCATTTGGTTCGAGTAAAGAACAAATTGTTTGAGTAGAGTTAAGAGAGTGAATAAATTGGATTAAGAATTAAAAAAGAATTTTTTTTTGTATGATTTAAATCAAGCTTTTTATTATTCGAGTCATGTGATTTGAGTTAGACAAATTCATGATTCGATTCGAATCAAGATTACATAATCAAAATTCAAAATTTGCAGTCATGATTTGATTTAAGTCAAGCCTTTTAATGATTCAAATCAAAATCTCTATGATTCGAGTCAGACTTTTCTGTGATTCGAATCAAATGCATAGAAACAAAATCCTGTTTTTCAAAATTCATATTTGATTTGAGTCACTCTTTTTCATGATTTGAATCAAGTGGACATAATCAAATTTAGATTTTTCACATTCAATTTTGACTCAAGTCAGCCAATTCTCTGATTCGAACCACACTTCCAAAGATTCAAATTTTAATAAAATTGACGTGTTATTTTAAACAGAGATTTGGAACAATTTGAATCATGTTTTCATGTGTTTCTTGATCCAAATCTTTGACTAATAGACTAGAAACATATTGCGTTGATTTTAAGAAAATAGTTTGATTTATGACATGCATAAAAACAATTAAGCATTCAATCTTATAGTGCGCAACTATGTAAGGAGACTCAGTTACAAGAAATAAACTAAAAGACTAAATTGACAATCAATAAAATATAAACTAGGACAAACTCTAAGAGACAAAGCAACTTAACACTCTCTTAAGTATTTGTAAAAACAATTTATTTGTATTGTGATTAAAATCACAAATGAAAATCAAATACTCTATATTTCAATGTATGAAAGACTCTTTGAGATAAAGTATCACACAATAAACAAAATACAAAATCTCAAGAGAAATCTATTTCGACACATCTAATATGTTTCTTCAAAAGCTTGAGACTTCAAATAAGGAGAACATTCTCCTTAAATATCAAAAGTGATCCAACCAAAAAGTCCAAAAGGGTTTAACCAAAAACCAATTGAATTCGAAACTAACAACCAATCTTTTTACTAAAATTTCCGATTTATGAGTTAATAAAATCTTCTTCAATCTCATTTGAATTAAAATATTTTTTTAAACAAAAATCTTTGCAAATTTCTGGTTGAACTAAAACATAAACACATCTTATAATAAATGTTGAATGGGTCACAAATAGAAAGAGAAGCGCACATCAAAGTCAAAGAAAGATAAAATGTCTATCAAGTCAAGACATTTTACTTAACAAATTTTCTCTTTGACTATTTTGTAGGCAAAGCAAAAGTGCAAAGATTTAAGCATATTTTTAAAATTAGAGCTTCAAAAACACATATGATAAACAAAAACAACAACACTAGTAATAATACCATTCTTTTGATCACTTAATATATAAAAAATTAGGGAAGGAAATCAAATGAGAATTCTAATTGATTACGACCCAACTTATTTAACCACTTGCTCAAAGACATATTCGCCAAAATCAAAAGCAAACCGATTACCTATCTGAATTAGAATACCAACAAAACTAGGGGTAATATCTAATTTATGAGAGGAAGGAGTTCAATTTGCTACTCCCTTTTTATACATAATGTCATACTTCACACTAAGATTATAAGAAACCAACAACCCCTTTAAAGACCAATTCTCATGTACATTACCAATGATTTCTCTAGCAATGGTCTTCAAAGATTGAAGACATTCAACTATGATCAATCTTCCTTAACAAGGTATTAATTAATAATAGTAGGAGAAAAATCAAAGAAATGCACCCTCATATGGAACTTCATGTAATCACCACAACCAACATCATTAAAACATTTAGGCAAGTTAACAATGAATTCCTTCATCAACTTTGGATCATATCAATCAACATTCATCACAGTTTTTAATAACTGAACGTCATTGAGGAGCTCCATAATTTCATTGCATTTTTTAGCCTCAACAAAAAGTTTCCTCTCATGAGCTAATCTCTCATATAAAAAATTTCACTTGGTTACACTCTTTTCAGAATGAAGAAAGACATTGTCAAGGGGAACATTTGAAATATTTTTGGAAAGCATTTTTCCACCAATCACCTTTTTATCGCTTTTAATAGAAATTTCTATCAAAATATCTTCATCTTCAATATTATCTGAAGTGTCATTGACATGGTCTTCGACATTCTTATTCACAATCTTCTTCCTTTTCATAGTAATGTTCTTGTCAGTCTTCTTTTCAGACTTTGTTTATCTTTCTTCTCAACACCTTTACTTTTACCATTACTTTTCTTATTTTTGTCATTGTTCTTATTTTTCTTTTCCACCAGAATAATATTATTCCTTTTCTCAGATATTTTCTTCTTATTTTCAGTCACACCCTTTTACTTGTTAACATTGGTCTTCTTACTTTTCTTCTTTGATTCAACCAAAGAAACAACTTCTTTAGTCACTTTCTTCCCCTTTTTTGTTTGTTTATTACAATAGGGGCTCATGAGCAAGCTCATCAACATCATCATTAATATCTTCTCTTAGGATTTCCTCAACCTCATCAATGACATCTACATTGTTATTGACAATGTTACTAACATTATTCTAGAAATCTTCGCTCACAAATTTTTCAGTCTCTATAATGACTTCTTCATTGTTATTGACATCATGACCAACATATTCACTTACAACCACATCATCCTTCTCAATAAAACCATCAATGTCACTAATACTTCACTTACAACCTCATCATCTTTCTCAATGACACCTTCAATTCCTTTGATATCTTCACTAACATCCCCACTAACATATTGACTGACTTTTTCATTTTCATTTTCAATGTTATCAATACTCTCATTTTTATTGACTTCTTTAAAGACATATCTACTAAATATATTACCAACATCTTGAATTTTCTCCTCTTTGTCCTTACTAACTTCGACATTTATCTCTTAATTATCAATATTATTTCTTAACATTTAGAGGAGTGGTAATTTTTTAATCACCTCTATCTTAGTTGGACCCGCCTTTATATCTTTTGTTGAGATTTTATGCCCCAAAAAGATACCCTAAGTTACCATTAAATGATTTTTTTTCTCAATTTAAAACCTTCATTCTTTCGATGCATCTCTCAAGAAAAACATTGAGGTGTATCAGGAAATTATCAAAATTATCACCAAAAATAGAAAATTATCCATAAATACCTCAATATATGATCCAATCATATTCGAAAATATAGAAAGCATGCATCTTTGAAAAGTGGCAGGAGCGTTGCACAAACTGAATAGCATCCCGCGGTATACAAAAACTCCGAAAGGGTATGTGAAAATAGTCTTTTCTTGATCTTCGGGATCTACAACAATTTGATTATATCTCAAATATCCATCCAAGAAATAACAGTAAGCTTTACCTATTAATCTCTCTAACATCTGATCCAAAAAAGGAAATGGAAAATGATATTTTCTTGTTGTTTGGTTCAACCTCCTATGATTGATGCACATCCACCATCCAGTAACCGTTCGAGTTGAAATTAACTCGTTCTTTTCATTTATGATAATTTCCACACCTTCTTTCTTAGGGACTACATGTATTGGACTCACCCAAGAACTATCAGAAATTTGATAAATCATATATGTTTCAAGTAATTTTAAGACTTCCTTCCTAACCACTTCTTTCATTGTAGGATTCAATCTTCTTTATGGTTGTACTAGAGGTCTGGATTCTTCTTCCAATTTTGTCGTATGCATTCAATAGGCTAAGATAATTCCTTTCAGATCACTCACACTCAAACTAAGTGCTCTCCTGTTGTCTTTTAGCACTCTCAATAGTTTTTCCTTTTCCAAATCTGTCA